TTTTTTTAATTGCCTTTTACAGAGAGAAGGAGAGGGAGAGAAACATCAATGTGAGAGCAAAACATCGATCGGCTGCCTCCTGCATGCCCCCTACCAGGGGTCAATCCTGCAACCCTGGCATGTACCACAACTAGGAATCAAACCGACAGCCTTTCAGTGCATGGGACAACATCCAACCAACTGAGCCATACTGGCCAGGGCTTTAATGGAATTCTTGAAGAAGATAATTGCTATGCCATCCTGTTTATACATACAGAACTCGAAGGTTAGAAACATGTTTCTCTAGGTACCAAAACCAGAGGACAGACTGAGTTTATTACTATCATAACTTTGATTCACTTGTGGTTAAATTAGTTAATCTCAAAATTATCATCTCTTAGGATAGGGGAATTACTAATAAAGTGATTTAAAATAGCCATAAGAGGTATTAGAGAATTACCGGATTCCTATTTTAATCATGAGTTACTTTTGTAAAAAAAAAAAAAAAAAAAATTCTATATATGAATTTACTTCTGTTTTCATTAATACATAGAAATTTTGGTTTTGTTATCTGCATTGTTGCAAATTACTCTTTTTGGTGTGTAATTGAGTTTGGAAATAGAAAAGGAAAGAAAATCAGAGGTATTGACAATGAGACCTTACATAGTATAATCTTTGTGGGAAAGTAACCTACAGAGCAAAATTTGTACCTTTAAATATTTATTATAGAAGGAAAAAGATTGAAAATAAATGAACTGAACATACAGCTTAAGTGATTAGAAATTAAAAAGGAAGATACACTAAAGCAGAAGAAAGGAATTGTTTCAATAGAAAGAACGATAGCTTGAACATTAAAAGCTGGCTTTTTGTAAAACAAGAAAATATAGAAACCTTTGACAAGTTAGATGAGGAAATAAATATTAGTAACATTAGGAAAGAAAAAAGCATGAATACAGACACAAAGTTAAAAATTATAGCATAATACTAAGAAAGTTATAGCTTTCTTACTAAATGTAAAAGTGCTATCAAGTGAGTGGTTTTATAAAAATATGTAAATTGTCAAAAATGACTTAAGATAGCCAGAGAAGTAGACCGGTAGCTGTAGATAAAATTGAAAATCAGAAATCCACCCCTAAAATAATCTGCCAGGCCTAGATGATTTTATATACAAAGTCTATCAAAACATTCAGGAACTTGCAATTCTAATATTAAATAAAATGTTTTGACACATAAATATATACTTTTCCAGTTCATCGTACTAGGATATAATGACCTAGTTAGTAAAAGCAGTTTTGTAAACCAGTGTACATTGACCACACTCACCAAGTAGAGGCCAATTCAACTTATGAACATTAATGTAGAAACCTTTAAAATATTAATAACTCACATATAGAAACATTAAGTAATAATTTATTATGTGCTAAATACTGTGCTAAGCAGTTTATATTGGATTATCTCCATCTTTTGAGAACCTTAAATGGTAGCTGCTATTCTACAGATGAGGAAACAAAGGCTAAAAAATTTATCATAATCAAGTGAAGTTTATCCTAGGAATGTAAGAATTACTTCACATTGGGAAATTTTTAAATGTAATTCACTATTATGTGGTGATTGTTCTGTTACTCTTATATAAATTGTGTTAGTCTGTAACTCTTGAAAGTACCGTCTGATTTAAAATATAGTTGCATAAACATGATTAAAAACTCTAAAATACCAAGTAACTTAGTTTTCCTTCCCTTATGTAATTATTAGTGTATTTTATAGTATGTTGGGAGAAACCTGCAAGAAGGAAATAGTTCATTCATAAGCATAAATACCAAAATCCTGTCTAGTGTTGTCTTTTTAAATAAAGAATGTTATTGTTACCCATAATAACAAGATTGAAAACTGTGAGAAAAAATAATCTTTTTCTAACAGTTCTTTTTGGTGCCTTTCTTTCTTATAAGTAGATTTTATGATTTTAAATTCTATCTTTTTAAAAAATATGCCTGTATAGGTGCTGGTGATATTTTCTGTAACCTAGGAAGATTAATCTTTCTTTTCATTCCTTAGGTACAAACTGTTTTGAAGCCAGTCCACCAGAAAGAAGGACAAGAGTTAACTGCTTTGCTGAATGCTCCACATATTCAGGTAGAAAATGGACAGAGCATTGTATATGTGGTTTTCCTATCTGCAAAGTCTCTTTGAATCAGTCTCTTAGGGCTAGAAGAGACCTCAAACATTATTGATAGACTGTTTTGATTATTTACAACTCCCCCTGCAAAGTAATTATTGTTGGATTATAATTTTTCATATTTAAAATTAACATTTTTTGAAACAATTTCTTATTCTTTAAAAGAAATATCTTCCCTTTGTTTGGTTTTATTTTTCATAAATTTAAATTATCTATGGTGTTGGGCCTTTAAATTGATTGTTTTTTGCAGTATAATAAGCATTTTAGACTTTCATTTTGCCCCATTATACTTTACACATCCTTTGTTACTACTAGCTATGAAAGATACAAGGTTGCATCTCTACTTCATTGGAAAGTTTGGAAACAGATCTGAATATATCATTAATTATAGCACTTCTTTTAAAAGTTTAATGATCAGAATACTATATACATGATTAGGTTAAAAATCTCTCTAGAGAAATGTATCATGCTGTTACCTTAAATGCTACGGATCTTTTTTGAAACAGGCACTTTTACTGGCCCACGATAAGGTCGCTGAACAGGAAATGCAGCTAGAGCCCATTCCAGATGAGAGAGTTTATGAAAGCATTGGCCAGTATGGAGGAGAAACTGTAAAAATAGTTCGTATAGAAAAGGCTCGAGATATTCCATTGGTAAGTATTTCACGTCTCAGATCTGAGATCCTTTCTACCCAGGGATCTTTGGTATGGCAGATAGTTAAAGGCCCCTTTAACATTTCTGGTAGTTTTTCTCTTTTGAGGTCAATTTGTTGGAATTCTTTTATGTTCTTCCTCATATTCCTTTTTCAGAGAAAAATGTGTTTGTCTTTCTCACCCCTAATTTGATGAAAATAGTGGCTTGTGAAATAGTTGTTGAGGGACAAAGGGATAAACAATCTGCTTTATTCTCACAACTTTTAAAAAAAATTAGAAAACCTGATCTTTTTATTCAGTTAAATCTATTGAAACACAATTGCTTATATATAATTCACATATACTTAGAAGTATGTATTCCTTAATGTTAATATTTTATATTTTTTTTATGTAAAATTTTTTGCAGTCTCTTCTTAGTCTGCTATTATTGCCTTAATTTTCTTTCCTTTATTTTCAGAGGATATTCTTGAATCCTGATCTCAAATTGTGTTTTGAATAGTGTGACACATGAAATAGGGACCATATTTTATGGGCAGTTTATGTAACTTAGTTTTTTCCCCACCAGAAAAAAGAAATTGGGAAAGTTATTACAGAAGTTTAGGATAAAAATGTAACAAACTCTGTCTACTTTCAAGCTTTTTTCTCTATTTTATTTTTTCATTTTTTGAAGTATATATTTTACTTCTGTTTCTAATTTGTGTAACAAATATCAGTGTTTAATACATTTTAATGTGAATTGGACAGAGCTATAATATTTAACATATGAATCAATCAGATTAGTATTCATTACCTCACCTTTTTTTGAATTTTGAAAAAGGACTTTTATAGTTATGGTCATGTTCACTAATTACACCTAAATTTAGTATAACCATTTTTGAAATAGCATCCAGTATATAGGGAACAAATTTGATTATAGGTCTTCACATGGTTTTTAAGCAAGTGCACTTTTCTGTTGTATGCTTCAAATGCCTGCTTGATTTTTAGAATTTTAATGAATGGAATGCTTCTGAAGCAGAAAATGTAAGGAAATGGTCAGCTTTCAAACCTAATTATCATGATTACTCTAGCTGTGTAAGTCTATTTTTTCCTCAAGATAACTGAAGGCTAGTATTACTGAATAGAAAAAAATAAGAATTTAAAAATGAAGAAATGCTTAACCAGAAAATCACATTTTTATTTTAAAATTGGATGTTGAATTTTTTTAGGGTGCTACAGTTCGTAATGAAATGGATTCTGTCATCATTAGTCGGATAGTAAAAGGGGGTGCTGCAGAGAAAAGTGGTCTTTTACATGAAGGAGATGAAGTCCTGGAGATTAATGGCATTGAAATTCGGGGTAAAGATGTCAATGAGGTTTTTGACTTGTTGGTAAGTTGACACAGATAGAAAAATATTTGGTAGATTCTTGAAAGCTGGGGCTTTTTTGTTATTAGACTTCAGAATAAAATATTTTAAAACATTTTTAAAATGTTAAGAGCACTGGATAATTTCTAGGCTTATTTTCACATGATATTATTTCTACAGTATTTATCAGTAGAGCTTTATTTTGGGTTGGGTACTAATATTTTTTTATTTTGAGCTTTATCACTATTAGGTATATTTTATTTACCTCGAAAGTCACTAATATATCTCATTAATTCATTCAACATATATTTATTTGAGTGCTTACTGTGTGCCAGCTGCTAGAGAAACAGTAACAAAACAGTCCATGCCCTTGTGATTTTTATATTCATTTTGTTTATGATCTATAATTGATTAATGTTTTCTTAACAATGTTAGGTAATGGCAATGGTATAGATCTATATTGTCTGATAGCTACATGCTCTATTTCAATTTTAATTAAGTAAAATTTAAAATTGAGTTTCTCGTTCCTACTAATTACATTCCAAGTGCTCAAGAGCAGTATATAGCTAATGGCTCCCATATTAAGGTGTAGATGTAGAACATTTCTGTCATAGAAAGTTCTGTTCTCATATAATCAGGAAGCCATTTGTAGACATGTTTTGAGAGCAATCTATGATCACTGCATTTATACCCGCAAACCAGGTTTATATTCTTATTGACTTAACATCAATGGTTATAATAGAATCTCTCCTATCTGCTGTCTATTGATGAATCTAGAAAACATCCTTATAGCCTTATTTTTACTCAACCCCGTTCATTGCTTTAGCAAAGTGCCAGTGGTCATTGTTTTTTGCCCTTATTTTATTGGCTGCTATCTCTAGGTTGAGCACTGTTTCCTACTATCTCAGGATCAGAAATTGTGATTACTGTTTTACTGTCTAGGCTGGAGGTACCTAAACAATCCAGTTAGTGGTGTACTGGGAAATAATAGTAAACCTAGCAGTGAGACACTGCGTAGTTAAAAAATAGAATGGATGACAGAGACAAGGCATCTGGGAAGTGAGAATATTTGTATCACTTTTCTAACCCTAGTCACAATTACTATTTCAAATTCTGTATTAAAATTGATGTATGTCAGAGTAGATAGCCCAGAATTGTTATAGCACTGCGATATTGTCCAAGCCTTCACTGTGTAATCTTCCTAAACTTACACTGAATAAAAGACAAGAACCCAAGACTTAAGGGCTAAATGTCCTTGCCCAGTGTGCCAGAATTACAGAATGCCATGTTACTGGGTAGCTCTACTGTAATGCAGTCCAGCAAAGGCATAATTTGTGCTTCCTAATGAAATGGGATTCATCTTTACCAATTTTTATAAGTCTCCTAGGGATTTCGGAATAGTACAGTTTAGGAAATATTGATCATAAGATCATGAAATGATTTTCATAAATATGGGTTTTAAGAATTACCTAATCTCTCTATTACAGTCTGATATGCATGGTACTTTGACATTTGTTCTGATTCCCAGTCAACAGATCAAGCCTCCTCCTGCCAAGGAAACTGTAGTAAGTGATTTTTTTGTTCATTATTTATTGTCTGATGGCTACTGTTTACTTTTTTTCTAAATTAATAAAGTCACTTTTTTAGAGTAGTTTTAGGTTCTCAGCAAAATGGAGCAGGGAGTCCAGTTTTACATACCTCTTAACCCACACACATGCGTAATCTTCCCCACTGTCAACAATCCTGCACCAGAATGGTACAGCTGTTAATCAATGAACTGATGGATCCATTATTGCTCAGAGTTCATAGTTTATATTAGGATTCGCTTTTGGTGGTGTACATTCTGTGGGTTTTGACAAATGTATAATTACATGTATTCGTTCACCATTGTATCATATGGAATAGTTTACCTGCCCTAAAAGTCTTCTGTTATCTGTCCATTAATTCCTCCTCCCAACCCTGGCAACTACTGGTCTCTATAGTTTGGCCTTTTCTAGAATGTCAGATAGTTGAAACTTGACAGTATATGGCCATTTCAGATTGGCTTTTTTCATTAGTGATAAACATTTAAGTTTCCTCCATGTTTTTTCATAGGTTGATAGCTCATTTCTTTTTAGCACTGAATAATATTCTATTGTCTGGATATATAACAGTTTATTTATACATTCACCTACTGAAGGACATCTTGGTTGCTACCAAGTTTTTGGTAGTTATAAATAACACTGCTGTAAACATCCCTGTGCAGGTTTTTGTGTGGACGTAAGTTTTCAGTTCATTAAAATGTACATCTACCCCAAAATTTTTGCACCATGGATGTTGTTGTTTTGAGTATCAGAAGTATCAACCTGAATATTTCTTGCATTCAAATAAAAACAAGGAAATTCAGTAGTTTTTATTTAAATAAATACGAATATCAGTATTTCATATGAGTAAACTCATAAAATTTCTTTCAGAATTTTTCTGACATAACATTGAACTTTGTCTTTCTGTCATTATAGGTAGGTTTATTTAACTTAAATTTACTTAATTTAGGAGGAAAGTGCTTTTACAAAGTATGCACAACTCTTATTTTAGAATATGTATTGCTCTTTATGTTAAGCATTTATTCAACTAGCTATATTAAAAGACAGATTTTCTTACCCTATGACCCAGAAGTTCCATTCCTAGGTGTATATCCAAGAGAACTGGAAACTTACATCTAACATAGACTTGTACGTGAGTGTTCACAGCAGCATTATTTGTAATAGGCAGAAACTAGAAACAACCCCAATGTCTGCCAGCTAATGAATGGAAAATGAAATATGGGATATTATTTGGCAATAAAAAGGAATAAAAGTACTTATATAATATGCTTCAGCATGGATGAACCTTGATAAAATTATGCTAAGTGAATGAGGCCTGTCACAAAAGGCCATGTATTGGTTCATTTATATGAACTGTCCAGAACAGGTAAATCCACAGAGACAGAAAGTAGATTAATAGTTCCTTAGGTGTAGGGGTGGGGAGTTTGGACGGGATGGGAAGAATTCTTAATAGGTATTTCTTTTTGGAATGATAAAAGTGTTCTAAAACTGTTGGTGGACCCACAGCTCTGAATTTACTAAAAACCATCCAATTGTGTAATGGGTGCCTTGTGTAGTATATGAATTATATTTCAATAAAGCTGTTAAAAAATTACAGACTTCAAAGTCCTGGATTAACATGGAAGCCTGATGTATTACATCTGTTGTTGTTCTTAATTTTTATGAAATTATAGCAGCTTGAAACAACAGTTTCCATTCTTTCTCAATATATCATCACAGTTATACTTTATATTTTGGCTGTCATTCCATGTTTTTCTTTATTCTTTATGGAACATATTAAAGTTGATAATGCATTTGCAACCTTCCTTCTGTTGAAAGTTCTTCTGTAGGAGGAGAAATGAAAAAATAATTTCTCTCTGAATTCCGATAGACTGATTCTCTGTGCACCATGCCTTTCCACATACCTCTCCAGTGAACAAGCCTTGAACTTCAAAAGTAGCTCTGTTCTTTGAGAAGACACACAGAGGAGAGTTGAAATTTGTCCTTACTTATGTGGCTTTAAAAAGAAAGGGAGATCACGGTCTATTTGGCTCAGCAGTTGAACATCTGGAGATTGAGGTTCGAGTCCCAGTTAGGGCACATGCCCAGGTTGTGGGCTCGATCCCCAGCAGGGGGCTGTGCAGGAGGCAGCTGATCAATGACTCTCCTCATTGATGTTTCTCTCTCTCCCTCTTCTTTTCTTTCTCTGAAATCAATAAAGATATATTTAAAAAATAATAAGAAGAAAAAGAAAGGGGGAGAGAGAAAGGAAAAGAAACAGTGCTCTTTTAAAATACAGCATTTAGGCCCAGCTGGCATGGCTCAGAAGTTGAACATCGACCTAGGATCCAGGAGATCGCAGTTCGATACCCAGTCAGGACAATGTGCCCGGGTTGCCGGCTCGAACCCCAGTAGGGGGAGGTGCAGGAAGCAGCCAATCAATGACTCACTCTCATCATTAATGTTTCTATCTCTCTCTCCCTTCCTCTCTCTGAAATAAAAAAATAAATAAAAACCATTAAATAAATAAAATAAAATATAAAATAAAATACAGCATTTGAGCCCTGCCAGTTGTTTGGAGTGTCATACCATACACCAAAAAGGTTGCTGGTTCCATCCCCAGTCAGGGCACATATGGGAGGCAACCAATCAGTGTTTCTTTCCTTTCCTCTCTCTCTCTAAAAATCAATAAACATATCCCCGGGTGAGGATTAAAAAAATAAAAATAAATAAAATAGAGCATTTGATGGATAGAGATCTTTTCAAAGTAGAAACAATGTTGTGCAATGTTTTCCTTCATTTCCTCCCTTTATTGTGAAGAGCTCTCAATTGCAATATCTCTTGCAAAGTTTTTATCAAACCTAACTGGCTTAGAATGAACTACTATTATTAAAGCTCACGCTGAAGGTTTCCAGAAAGAAAACAGTGATAGGAAACCATAGTTCTAGTTGGCATATGCAGATTAATGATTTTTAGAAATTAAAACCAATTTATTGAGCATCGTTATGGTACAGGTCAGGATTTAGTAAGAGCAAAGGTATCTTTCTAATGTATGTTTTGTGTTATTAGAAAGAAGCATGTATTTAAAATAGATAAAATAGATGTTATCTGAAACTGCACTATAATCAGTTGCTGAATTACAGCATCATGAATGGCAAAAGTAAACTGTGTCAGGAGAGGTACTCCCTTATGCATCACACATAGCAACAAGTGGCTGCTTTATCAGTTGCAGAGGGCAAGAGTCTTGGCACCTTTGGAGTTCACTCCTGGGTGACTGGCGCATTTATCCCAGGAAATGTGCATTGCTTAAACTGTTTAGTTTCTTTCTCTCCACATTGACTTAAAAAAAGTGTTAGAGTGCCCAGACTGTGTAAAACTTTAAATTGTATTTCACAATCTAATTGAAATAATATGGAGGGAGGAAATAGAATATTTGAGCTGAAGGCATGTTTTTCATCTAGCTTTAATGCCCTAATCAAGCCATTTTCAAATGGTGTGCCACAAGAATTTTTAAAATACACAGTACCTGACTAGTCAGGGGCACTGATCTCTTTTCCCTTAGATTGTCAAATAAAAGAATGACAACAGCCAACACAGCAGTAGCTGTCCAATGTGAATGAATCAAAATTAAACCTATTTTTATTTTGTCAGATTGGCAAAAAAATATATTTTTTGATGTGCCATAGAATTTTAGTAATTAATGTGTGCCATGAGATGAAAAGGGTTGAAAATCGCTGCCCTAATCTAACAGAGGAGTTAACTGAAATGTAGTGGGATCACGCTGCTTATTAGTGATGGAATATGCACTAGAAAATTCAGATTATTGATTGTCCGATAAATGTTAGCTATTATGATTACTTACTCTGTGCCAGGCACGGTACTAATTGTTTCATATGTTTTATCTCACTTAATTCTCACAGCATCCCTATGAAATGTAGATATCTTTATTATTCCCATTTAACAGGCATTGAAACTAGAACTTAGAAAGGTCAAGTTAATTGCCCAAGCCCACTATTGGTAAGTGACTGAGTCAGGACTAGAACCCATGCCTATTCCAGAACCTATGCTCTTAACTGCTGTGTAGTATAACAGGTAATGTCCCACAAAGCCATTAAATGTTAGAGTTCTACATTACTGTTTATCATCAGTCTAAAGGAAATAATTAGAATACCATGATAGAAAATGGTAACTATAGATGCATTAAAAATCTGTTAGTAACTATGTATGTGGTACTCTGGATTCTGAGAACAACAGAAGCATATTATGAGATTTTAGTACTTGAAATTGCTGTAGGATATCTCTTGCCTCTAGAAGATTCATCCCTCTACTAAGACTGGGAACATGCTTTCGTGAAGTCTTTTGATTTGTGGGGTCTGGGTTGGGAGGACAGAGAAAAGTGGTTTACAGGGAACTTAAAGGCTTAGAGTAGAAGGAATTTGAAATCGCATTGCAGGGGTACAAACCATAGAATTAGCCACTAGCCAGTGGTTTTAATTATTGAAATATATTCTTAGGGGTCCCAAATAACTATTTTCTTTACAATGAACATCTATTGGAAACCTTTTGTGTACTAGGCACTATGCTAAGCACTGGGTTTATAATAATGAACTGACAAAATAATTACAGCTTGCATTAAGTGATAAGGTAGGAATAAACACAGTGTGAACATCGAGAATAAAAAGAAATGGGGTTAATTATATAGGTGGTCAGGAGAGGTATCTTGGAAAAGGCAACATGAAGCTGAGGATGAGATGAAGCCAGAAGAGCTTTCAAATATGATTTCTAAAGAACTTTGTTTTGGAAGGCCTGTGCGCTTGGAGCCAAGTAGGAGAGGAGAAAGGCAAGAGCGGGATTCTATGAGATGAGGCTGGAGAGGTAGGTAGGGCCAGGTCAAGTAGGTATCCTTGGCCATGGCAGGGAATTTGGATTTTAAATATAATAAATGATCTGATCTGTATTTTTAAAAATACTTCTGGCTTCTATGTATAGATTGGTTCAGTAGGGCCAATAAGGAAGCAATGAGTTTTAAGAAACTTGCTGAAGCCATTATGAAGTATGATAATGGCTTACACTTGGGTGATGGCAGTGGCAGTGGAGAAAGTGAGTTGGGCTGTGTTCTGGAAGTGGAAATGACAGGACCTTGTAATAAATGTGGAGGGTCAAGGAAAGGGCGGAAGCAGAGATGCTTGAACAACTGGGTGGATAGTGGTGCAGCTTACTAAAGGGAAATCTGGAAGAAAAACTGATTTGGGGAGAAAAATCAAGAGGTCCATTTTACAGGTTTGAGATACCTGAGGGGCATTGCAGAGTTATTGTTTTTACAGATCAGGAATGGAGACAGTAGCATCAGTATCTTTATTACATTCCTTCTGCTTCTCTTAAGCCCCTTAGCACCTCATCTTGTTTGTGGCTAGCAGTACAGTGTTCGGCATACTCTTGTACATGTTTGCGCTCAACAGAGACATGAACTTAAGTGAAGAAAACAGATGAGCCTGAGAAAACACTGCCCTCCAAAATACTGTTATTTTACTAAACCTCCCTCTTTCAACTCTTAATTTCTTTGCACGATGAAAAACCATAGCATTTTAATTACATTTATGCTAACTATTTTGTGTTACCATTTCATCATTATTTTTCTCATTTTTTTTTAACCTTTTTATCTTTTAGATTCATGTAAAAGCTCATTTTGACTATGACCCTTCAGATGACCCGTATGTTCCATGTCGAGAGTTAGGCCTGTCTTTTCAAAAAGGGGATATACTTCATGTGATCAGTCAGGAAGATCCAAACTGGTGGCAAGCCTACAGGGATGGCGATGAAGATAATCAGCCTCTAGCTGGGCTCGTTCCAGGTAAGAACAATATAGTAGAAAGTGCATGTATAGTTAAGAGAACGTTTAGAGAACAGACCTTGACAAAGGAAACTCACTTTTCCATGCCTTTTTTAAAAATGATGTAATTACTTTTTCATGTAGTTGGGCTTTTATGTTGTATCTGTAGTATAAGTATCTTTTTTTTTCTTTTTTTAAAAAATATATTTTTATTGATTTCAGAGAGAGAGGAAGGGAGAGGGAGAGTTAGAAACATCAATGATAAGAGTCATTGATCAGCTGCCTCTTGCACGCCCCCTTCTGGGGACCGAGCCTGCAGCCCAGGCATGTGTCTTGACCAGGAATCGAACTGGGATCTCCTGGATCGTAAGTTGATGCTCAGCTGCTGAGCCACACTGGCCAGGCTGTAGCATAAGTATCTTGAATATAACTGTGACCAATTTGTTGGACTTTAGAATGAAATTGTGGTGTAATATAATATATACATTGGTTCTTTATGTGTATAATAAGGTTACAGAAAGTCACAAGTCACCTGCTTTTAAACCCAAAAGCTGGAAACAGATTTTGTCTATATTCAGCCATATTTCAGGAATGGAAGAATGATCTTCATATATATAGTTGAGTGGGTGATGCGACAGCCTTGATTCTCCACAGTAACAGTTGCAGGACATTTCCTATGGAGTCCTGAAGTATTGGGCAGCTATCATGGGTCCCTACTCAGTGCTTCTGCCAAATACCAATTTGGTATCTTCTTACTGTGCCAGCCTTTGCCCATAAATATTTAGAACTGGTGTTTATTGACAGATTGATTACATTAAGTTTCTGAAAGTACATAGATGAGTCAAGGAGATTCCAGTGGTCATTTGCAAGTCTTTTATAGCACAAATAAATGGACTCAGCTTAGTTTGAGTTTGATAATGGTTTTCTGTTAGAAGGATTTTTAAAAGGTCATAATGTCCATCTCCTATTAATGTCTGCTTCAATTTCAAAAAAAGTTAAATACGTGTATACTATAAAAGTGTGCCATAGAAGTATAACACTGTAATGTTTTTAAATATTTTAATATGTAAATGATTAAAATTTTGTTTCTTTTTTTAATTTGTTAAAGACAAGTATTCATTTTTAAATATTAATGCTCTTAGACTTACCCCTCTAGTCATAGTTACTTGTTTCACTAGGAGTGCAATCTGTATAGCCCCTGGAGATAACCTGGTTTCCTTTAATGCTTCTTATGTATGTTAAACTCAGTATTTTCACTTGTGCTTTTATAAAATACACTACATTCTACAGATTATTCCAACATAGGTGGAAATTGCCTATCAACATTTAAAAATCCCTGTCTTAAAATGGGAAGAATTAGATACACAAATTAAATATAAAAGTATACCTCTAATACAGATTTTTTTTTTTTTTTTTTTTTTACTCCTCACCAAAGGATATTTTTTCCATTGTTTTTCAGAGAGAGTGGAAGGGAAGGAGGGGAGGGAGGGAGAGAGAGAGAGAAAAAAAAAACACATTGATTGTGAGAGAGACACATTGGTTGGTTGCCTCCTGCACACACCCTGACCAGGGACAGGGAGCAAACCTGCAACCCAAGTACAAGCCCTTGACCGGGAATCGAACCCAAGACCCTTGGGTGTGTGGGCCAACACTCAGACCGCTGAGCCACACCGGCCAGGGCTAATACAGAATTTTTTAAGTAAAACTAGTTTTAGCCTTCAGAAAAAATGTATTTGGTTTTAAGGTAGATGTCTTAAAATAAGATGAAGGTCAAAAACCTTGAAAGCCTCTTATATTGAAAGCTTAATCCTGAGATGAAAAACATGTTTTTCACTTATTTGTATCATTAGTAAAGGTGGAAATTTAAAAAATCATTAAAATGTATGCATACATACATACACATACAAAGAAAAAGAGGAATAGAGAATAATAAATCCAAAGGAATATGGTGATGTCTTGGAATCAGAAAGTGATGAATATTCACATATTATTTTGGAAAGTTAGCTCCTAGGATGAATTTGCTTGATTTCAGATAATTCTGAATGATCAGAACTGTTGTAAGATCCAGCATAGTACTTTCCACTTAGTAAATGCTCAATGAAAGCTTTGTAAAAATTGGACTGTTATGTTTCCTAACACTAGTTTATTATCTTTTTTTCTCTCAAGACTCTACTTTTATTTTTTATTATTTTATTTTTTCAAAATATTATAGATGTATTTTCTAATAGGTGATATATTCATGTCTTGGGGTTGCTTGAGAGTGAGGTTGGAAATATTCTAAACATTTGGAGGCTTATGTGCAATCATAGTTGACACACTCTTATAGGCGCCAGAAGGAATTAGAAGTGAAGGAATTAGAAGCGAATATAATTGAATAGTTATTTCTGGTGTTTTCCCCGGGCTTTTTAAAAAAATACGGCTATTCTTTTGTCTTAAATATTTTACTCCTTTTCCTTTCTTCTATTAAGGGAAAAGCTTTCAGCAGCAAAGGGAGGCCATGAAGCAAACCATAGAAGAAGACAAGGAGCCAGAAAAATCAGGTTGGACACTTTTATTTGGCATTAATGAGAGGTTTCTTGGGTCTTGATCTGGAATCATGTTTAAATTTACATATCAGTTAGAACTGGCAAGAAAGATGTATTCGTGGCAAGAGTGATGTGAAAGGCAAAACCAAAGATCTTAAACTGTAAAGAAAGGACAGGATTTAAATATTAAAGATTGTTGACCTGTAATGTGAGATTAATGGAAAATTGTAAATGCTTCCCTGAAAATAGTTCTGTGAACAAGTAATAAGTGTTTGTAACTTTAAATTAAAAGCTATGTGAGATCTTCAATTTGAAATAGGTAGCTTTGTTGAAGGAAACAGATACCACGTTTATAATTATGTTTATGGTCACTCAGCAGGAAAGCTGTGGTGTGCAAAGAAGAATAAAAAGAAGAGGAAAAAGGTGCTGTATAATGCCAATAAAAATGATGGTAAGCTTCACCCTCAGAGGCAGCTGGCTTGGTACCTGAACGAGACCCAATGTTTAGCACTTGAAAGAAATTGATAGTTTTGGGGAGTTTTGTTTCTAGTCTTGTTTCGCCTCTTAATATGGCACAAGGGCTTAAGAAAGTCATTGAGCAAAAATGATTTTTTTTTTTTTTGGAATCCTATGAGTAATGCAGTGTTTTGAATTCTGAGAAAAACTGGTATAAAAATTAAAGTATATTAATATATATAGCATATTGAAAATTCTCTAATTTTGAGGAAATTGAATTGAAATTTCTCTAATTCTTTTCTACTTAAAGTCTTTATTTGCAAAATTAATATATGCTTCTAACAAATTCTAACAACATAGCTGTATTTAAGTAAACAGTGAATATTTTGTCTATAATAACTCCTGTCACCAAGACAACCCATTCCACAGAGCCTGCTACCTGCTGGCAGAGTCAGGTACACAGGAGAGTTTTTTGTTTTATTTTAAAGTTGTAGCTTCTCTTAAAATCAAAAGCTCTGATCATGTGGCTCATATTCCCAAGCGACAGCACTCTGCTGGACCTGAGTGACGGCTGTTGCCTTTACATTGGGCACCTATTGTCTTAGTTCAACAGTTTCCACAACCAATTTTTATAAACCAAACCTGATTTACTGCTTTCATTACCTTCTTGGTTGGTTCTTATGGGCATTAGATATGCTACCTGTGCTTTGGTTCATGTTAGAAACAAGCCAAATAATAGTCAAGACAACCCTTAACTTAAACAATTTCTAAGGCTTATTCTCTCAATGCCTTGAAGTTGTTTTTAGGCAGCATAAATTAAACCAATGAAAATAAATTGTTATAGATTATTGAAAAACTCCATATAAAACTAAACCTGAGATTCCATCTACTTTAAAAAAAAAATTTTCCCAAAATAAACATCCTTAAAGCTAATTGATATATATGTAACTAAGATGATTTATTGAATTTTTAATCCTTTCCTTTATACTTGGGTAAGCGATCATTAATACTTGCTTTTCATCTTTTGAAACACTAAAATTAATTGAGTCAGCTCTAATAGCTATTGAAGTCTAGAAAATTTGCAAATCTGAAGTCTACAGATTATAAACTAAGTCTGTAAATCACAACGCTACCACAGTCTGATTATACATGTTAGAAGAAGGAACTCAGATTTTTCATAGTGAAAAGCATTTTGGGAAGGAAAAGTGTCATCATAATTAATATTTTTATTAATAACTAATTTATAATTTTTATTCTAGAGGAGCTAGCTGTATATGTTTTAGATATCTTTATCCATTTAGTTCTCACAATAAATTCAAAATTCAGATATTAAAGTAACCTTCTTAAGTTCTTACAACTCAGATGGGTTGAGCTGAAATTTAAACACATATAGTTAGAATTCCTACTCTGTGCTCTGTGCTAAGCACTGGCAAGACTAAGATGGTCCCCTGCCCCCATGGAACTTATACCTGAGAGAGTCTGGCTACACATCTGACGCTGTTTCCCAGTCAGATAACCAGTATGAGTGAGAAGATGGCAGGCTGCTATTGTCTGCCTTTGTTCTTTCCACTTAAGCTCTGATTTCACCTGAATTATGGGTTTTAGGAATGTTACCCCACCTATCATAATTTATACCTCTTCTTGAATCATGACCTCAGCTATTCCAGAGCAAAGTAAGTATAAGTTCAGGAAGCGTGAATGGCACAGATAGGACCTGTGTTCACATTATATAATCACAGAAAAGTATTCCAGCTTTCTCTGATACCACTGCTTGTAGCCACTGTTCGGGATGTGTGTGCCAGGTGTTGTGCTCAGCATGTACATTATGTCTGATCTTTAACCAGCCCCCTCAGTAAAGTGTTAGTGTCCTCATCTTACAAAAATTATAGGTATTATTCTCATTAGTTTATCCCCTGGTTCCCCACCCTCTGTCAAACTATTGGCTGCAAACTAGCTATTTTACGTAAAAATCAGTATAGTGATATTAAATATTCAAACACACTATGAAACAAGAGAAGCAATAAAAATTTCTAGAACGATTAATATATTGTCTAATTTATGTTCATAGTATCCTGGGAAGGATATAATGACCAGAGAAAATACTCATGATATAATACTATCTTGATCCAAAAAGTTAAGTGTTTTTAATAATAAATTGTGCTCTTTCCCATTTTTTGGGCAGATCTATGAGTATATGTTTATTACGTAGCAATAATTCTGTCTGAAGGGCTTAACTTTTTTTCTTCCTAAAGACTATGACAATGAAGAAATCTTAACTTATGAAGAAATGTCACTTTATCATCAGCCAGCAAATAGAAAAAGACCTATCATTTTGATTGGTCCACAGAACTGTGGCCAGAATGAATTGCGTCAGAGGCTCATGAACAAAGAAAAAGACCGCTTTGCATCTGCAGTTCCTCGTAAGTTTGGATGCATTCCCATTTTCCTGTGCTTTTCCATTTACCACCTTAGAAGCTAACTGTGTAGGGAAATTTTTCATCCATTTTATCAAAACAGTGTTGTCCAAGAAAGAACTTTTGTTTTAACCAAATCTTGCTCTTGGGAAATTTCATTTTTTTCTAAAAATATGGTACTAATTACTTTCTAAATGAATTTCATTTTGCACTTCTTATAATTCCCTGTTCAATATGGAATCAACTTCTGGTTTTTTAAAACTAATGCAGAAGATAGAAATTTAGACATAATGTATGAACAGAGAAGTTTTGTTTAAAAATTATATAGTACCATTCTGAAACACTAATCAGAAAGAATATATGCACCCCTATGTTCATAGCAGCGCAATTTATGATAGCTAAGATCTGGAAACAGCCCAAGTGCCCGTCTGTAGATGAGTAGATAAAAAAGCTATGGGACATTTACACCATGGAATACTATGCAGCTGTAAAGAAGAAGGATCTTGTACCATTTGGGACAGTATGGATGGACCTGGAGAATATCATGCTAAGGGAAATAAGCCAGGCAGAGAAAGACAGACATCACATGATCTCACTTATATGTGGAATCTAAAGAACTTACTAAACTGATGAACAGAATAGATTAATTGACATGGAAGCATGGATCAGACTGATGAATCTCAGAGGGACGGAGGAGGGTGGGTGGGTGGAGGAGAAGAGATTAATGAAGGAACTCATACGCATATATGCACAACCCAAGGACACAGACAATGGTGTGGAGAGGGACTGGGGAGGGGGGTGGGATGGGGTGGAATGGGTCATTGGGGAGAAAAAGGGACATCTGTAATATTTTAAACAAAAATTAACACAAAACAAATAATAAATAAAAATAAAAATTATATAATACCTTATATAGCACCTAATCTTATGGAAATAAACTTTAGAAAAAGGTGAGTGGTAGTGTTTTAAATGCAATATGAAGTACTTTAAGCTGTAAGCATAAAATGTTTTAAGTTTTAAATGTAACAATAAGATACTAAAAACTTATTTTTGTTCATTTCTCAATGTAGAAATAAAACCAGTGTTACATTAAACACATGGGCTCTTAACATTTCCTCAATTTGTTATAATCTGTGTTATAAAATTAAAATTTTTTCTGATTAACAGAATTATCCCCCATCCTTACCCTGATCCATGCCAATTATTCTTACCTGATTTTCTTTGCCTAGATACAACTCGTAGTAGGCGAGACCATGAAGTAGCTGGTAGAGATTACCACTTTGTTTCTCGGCAAGCGTTCGAGGCAGACGTAGCAGCTGGAAAGTTCATTGAGCATGGTGAATTTGAGAAAAATTTGTATGGAACCAGCATAGATTCTGTACGGCAAGTGATCAACTCTGGAAAAATATGTCTTTTAAGTCTTCGTACACAGGTAAAGCTGTTTTGGTTTAGGGTGTTGTACTTGAGGCAACTTTTTTGCAAAGTAATTTAGTGGAAACTGTGTTTTGGTCCAGGAACCACAGGACCTAATTGTTCTTATACAGCTTTTTCCCACTGATTCCCTATATGAAATCAGACAGATTGCTAAATCTCAATTTCCTCAGAGAGTAAAATACGTACATATGTACATATATACACCTACATATTTTCTAAAATTTAATGCAGTAACTGTAGTACTGGTAATACACTAAGGATTTTAGAGGTTATAAAAGAATTCCCCTTTTCTTTTTCTGATCTGAGAAAAATTAGAATAAATGTCATATTTATGGTTTTAAATACGATAGTTCAGGTATTAGCAAGTATCATAATGAATGCTTAGTTGTTTTAAATAATGAAACTTGCATTGGTTTCTATTATTTGACAGACTAAGCAAAAACTTAAAAATGACTAACAATTATTCCTTAGGTTTCCATTAAAAAATAATAGAAATTTGGGATTTTAAAGATAGTTTGTTGTGGAAAAGTTTTCTAGACTAGACAGATTCCACATAAAACTTTTCTTAATGTGGTGGAATCTACTGCATATGTCAACTCAGGAAATCTAAGTAGTGGTTGTTAAATAGATGTACAGGAAAGGAAATTGACTGTAAAATGGCTCTGTTGCTCTAGCTGGCTTGGCTCAGTGGTTAGAGCATCGCCCTCAGATGAATGATCCCGAGTTCAGTTCCAGCCAAGGGCACGTACCTCCGTTGCTGGCTCGATTCCCAGCCCCAGTTAGGGCACATGTGGGAGGCAACCAATTGAGTGTCTCTCACATTGATGTTCCCCACTCTCTCTCTAGCTCTCGCGCTCTCTCTCTCCCCTCCTCCCTCCCCCTTCCACTCTCTTTGAAAAGCAATGGGAAAAATATCATTGGGTGAGGATATTAATTTAAAAAAAAAAGGCTCTCCTGAGACCCTGGCTGGGTGGCTCATTTAGTTGGAGCGCAGTCCCGTGCACCAAAAGGTTGATGGGTTTGATTCCCAGGCAGGGCACATACCCAGGTTGCAGATTTGATCCCCAATGGGGGCACGTACGGGAGGCAACCAATCGATGTTTCTCTCTCTCTCTCCCGCCCCTTCCTCTCTCTCTCAAAAAATCAATGAAAACATACCCTCAAGTGAGGATTAAAAAGATAATATTAATGAAAACAAATGGCTCTCTTGAAATAGTAATTATCTTTTCTTTGTTTTTTTAGTGGACAAAAGAGTTTAGTCTCTACTATTTCAGTTATGAACATTTAATAAAGTTTTTAGGTTAAAAAAAGGGGGCATGGCCCTGTAATTCCCACTGTGATGGAGTGCTTCAGTTTACGGCACATTGTCATGTGTGGCAAAGGGGAGGTGAAAGCCATACCGCCTAAATCAGACTGAGTCTCTTTTTCTTGGATATGCTTTTCCAGAATTTGTGTGTGTGTGTATGTGAAGGTTTTTTCTCTGATTGTGCTTGCATTTAGACCCTGGCACATTGTAAGGTGACTGCTCATTTCTAATTTCTCCAAAATGGATTTTTAATATGGTTATTATAATCTGCATGTGATCTAATGAGTAGGGTATTTTAACATCACATAGCTGTAGTCCTTCAGTATTACTCATTTTTATTTTATTACATAAAAAGAGCAAGCCAATATTGTGTGTTTGCTTGTGTGTGATTTTATAGGTACACAATATATTTTTAATAGTAATGGTAGGGTCTTAAAATATTGTGAATTTTTTGTTATGAAGATGTTTGGAAACCACTCATGGATTGTTGTTTCGTTTTTAATGACATTAAGACATTACTACGTTCCAAGTATATTATTGAGAAGTAGTTAAATATTGAAAATTATTTTAAAGATCTAAAATATATTTTCTTTTCAGTCGTTGAAGACTCTCCGGAATTCAGACTTGAAACCATATATTATTTTTATTGCACCCCCTTCACAAGAAAGACTTCGGGCATTGTTGGCCAAAGAGGGCAAGAATCCAAAGGTAGAGTTATTCTGTTGTACTATCCCATTGAAAATAAACATGAAACAGTCATGGCCTAATATATTACAATGCTTAAAAGCTACATCTGCTTGAGCTTTCAAACTGATTATTTCTGCCATATTACTTTCCTCAAAATTGCCATGGTTCCCTCATGGTTGGACTCTGGCAGCTCTCCAAAGATGTTGACTTCCCTTGTTGTTGCCCACACATTCCCTGTTGTTACCCCAAATGTATGGTAAGCTTTGGCATTCCTTAACACTTCTTAATATTCATATGTGTGCATGTTATTTCCAGGAGGGATTATGTGACACCCCTCACACACACAAAAGGACTCACCGTATTTTTAGGGATTGCCCACTGCTCTTTGTAGTCCACGCGTGTGGGAGCCAACATTGAGTGCCTGTGTCTTTCTCTTTTTTCTCATTGAAACTTTTATGTTCTGTTTCTCTCCTCCCTTTGGTCTTCTTACATGAGCTGAAATGGAAAATTTTAAAAATTATTTTAAATACTGGTGACATGGTTGAGGGCATCCATAGTATACTAAACATTATTAATAATTAAATGATAATATACTGATAATCAGAAAGCATTGGCTTTTTATTTAAATGTGTGAAATTAAAACTGCCGTGTGACTCGTCAAAGTAACAAGTACTTACTCTTCCTTGGTTTTTGCTGATTTTTTAAATATTTCTATTTAAGAGAGGAATCATTCAGATCTCATTTCTTTTGCTATGCTTCTAAATCTCCTTGAAAGCCATAAAAACATGTAATAATGCTCTTCCTTGAAAGCTCCTTAAAAGTCACTCAAAGCGTAACTTTCCTTCGATTCTTGACTTTAGCACGGCCAACCCTCCTCCTCCTACCTCAAGCTATCCTTTTCTGCTCTGGGCCTACTTACATTCCTTCCTCGGCCTACATAAATGGAAGGTAGTATTCTTCAGTGTCTTAGGCTCTAGACACCAGGAACTTCCCCATCCTACATGTTGAACGTAATGTCTAGGCTAAGTAGACCAGCTGGTTAAAGTAGTGTTTCACCCCTTTTTAATTTTTTTGCAACACAATTATAAGTTCATAAATAAGTGGGTTCAGAGTGTCTGTTGTCCTTAGCACTTGGGATGATTCAAAAGAAATATTAGATATTAGAAATATTAGATACGGTCACTTGCTGTTCTTGAGGATCACAACATATAGTAAGGAAAGCAAGGTGAGTACTCTGTGAAACTTGGCGCCCAGCAGCTACTTTGTAAGCAAGAAATACTGTAGTCGTTCAAGGAAAGGGATGCCCCTTACAGACCGGTGAACTCCCTTCTGCTTATTCAGCCTTATTTTCAGTTTTCAAGCACACACACTCTTTTTTAGTTAGGTTTTTCTTCAACAGGAATCAGTGTCGTGCCAAGAGCCATGCACCATTCCAGAACATGTTAACCAACTTTCTTTAGGTTAGTGGTCTGGCAGTGCTCTCATGGAATATTTACCTACTCTGTTTTGAAATAGCCACCCTAAATTGAGTGAGGTCTAGAAAGATACCAATTATACATATTTTTAAAGCATGGACTTAATCAATAACAAAATGTTAACAGTATATATACAATATGCTTGATTTTCTAATTAGAATTTTCTAATTTTTAAAAATCAATGTTATTGAGGTTACTTTACATAAATAAAGTCCATACATTAAGTTGTATAATTGAGTGAGTTTTGGTAAAATGCATACCTGTGTTACTACCATGCCGATCAAGATTTGGAACATTTTCATCACTCCAAAAAATTCTCTCATGCCCCTTGAAAGTTAATACCCTCCGTCTTCCCAAGGCAACCACTAATCTGCTTTATGTCACTACAGATTTATTTTTTGTCTGTTCTCGAAGTTAGTATAAGTGGGACCACACAGTATGTTTAAGTTTGCATCTGGCTCTGTATGAGCATAATGTTTTGAGATTCATCTATGTTGCATCTAACAGTAGTTCATAGCTTCCTTTGCTAAGTGCGATACATACCATGATCTAAATATATGACAGTTTATCCATTCACCACTTAAGTACCATTTGGTGTAGTGTGACCAAAGCTCATAGTCTTTTGGCGACACGTTTTCATCCTTCTGAATTACTGGATCAGATGCTAAGTGCATGTTTAACTGTGTAAAAAACTACCAAACTGTGTTAAAAAGTTTGCCATTTTTTGCTCCATGGACTCCACAATTTTACCAACTTTTGCTGTGTTGATTTGTAACAGTTTTTTAATTCTAATAGGTGTGAAATGTTATCATGATGCATTTTCCTAATGACTGATGATAGCATCTTTTCACATGGTCATTTAGGCATGTTCTTTTGTAAAATGTCTCAAGTCTTATTTTTTAATTGTTCTTTATATCTGGATATAAATATTTTTTCTAAGTCTTTGTATCTTTTTAATGATATTTTTTGAAATCAGAAATGTTTTTTCTTAAGTACACGTTTTCATTTTTCTTATGGTCAGTGAGTTTTTTGTACTGAAAAAATTTGTCTACTCCAAGATTTATCCTATGGTTTCTTCTAAAAGTTTTCTTGTGTTAGCTTTTACTTTTAGGTCTATGATCTATCTCAGGTTCATCTCTGTTTTAGTGTAAGGCAAGAGTGGAGATTGGCTTTTTGTTTTGTTTTGTTTTTAAATCACGTGTGGTCATCCAGTTGCTCTAGAAGCATTTCTTGAAAAAGACTGTCCTTTCTCCCATCAAATTACATGGGCACTTTTGTAAAAAATGGCCTGACCAAATATGTGGGGGAGAGGGGTGCAGGGTAGATTATGGACTGTTTCTGGACTCTATTCTGTATTTATGCTAATATTGCACTGTCTTGATTACTGTAGCTTTATTGTATGTCTTGGGAAACAGTCATAAAAAGGAATAAAGTACTGCTACACAGTACAACACAGACCATATATTGTATGATTCCCTTCTATGGAATGTCCAGGTAGGCAAATCTAGAGAGACCTAAAGTGGTTGCCTAGATCTGCGGGGTGGTAGAACATGGGGAGTGCCTGCTAATGGGTATAGTTTTGGGGGGGTGGGAGTGATGAAAATGTTCTGAAATTGAATTGTGTTGATTACACAACTCCTACTATATTAAAACCTGTTGAATTGTAAATTTTAAATGGGTGAATTGTAAATGAATTTATGTCAAAAAAGCTATTACCACTAAAAAAAAAAAAAATCTCAGATTTTTTTGTAGAAATTGAAAAGACTTTAAAATTTATGTGGAAATTAAAAAGAATAACCAAAACCCTTTAGAGAAAGAACCAAATCAGAGGACTTTTCTCTTTGTTAATTTTCCCTATTTTTTTTGGTCTGTTTTCTATTTAAATGACTTGTCTTATTTTTATTCTTTCTTTGTAATTACTTTAACATTAATTTGTACTTGCTCTGCTGTCTGAAGAAAACCTAGATGAGTTTTAAATCCTTCTTTTCTAATATGAAGCTACAGCTTTCCCCCTAAGCAATTCTTTGGTTGCATCCTACAGATTTTGAGGTTATATTTTTCATTATTTTGTTAGAATACTTTCTAATTCTCTATGTCATTTTTTTCTTTAACCCATGAGTTATTTAGAAGTACCTAATTTCCACCTATTTGGAGGTTTTAAAATATATTTTACTGATTTATAATTCCGTTGTGGTCAGAGAACATACTCTGTAATATGTCGGTCTTTCAGATTTGTTGAACCTTACTATATGGCCCAACACGTGTTCTATCTTGGTGTATGTTCCATGCACACCAGTAAGAATATATATTCCGCATTTGTTGGGTAGAGGGTGATATATCTGATTGCCTTTTAATTTCACTTATGTTGTATCTCCTCTGGTATTTCCAATAATGCTTTATCACTCACAAAATAGAAGTGTTGTTTAAAAACAAATCCTCAGTTTTAAGTCAATTAACTTGTGCTAGCTAGGAAAGTGATGGTGTTTCTCTAGATGCAAAATGTAAAACTCAGTTGTCTGTACTGTGAATCTTGGAATCTGTTCTGTTAAAAGCAGGCTTGAGTGTGAACTGATAGTACGAACTTAGTCACTTTCCCTGTAGGCTAATTTTGTCAGCCCAAAATTTTTTGAGCAAAAACATTTTGTTTCATTTTACTCATGAATTATAATTTAAAAAATAAGAGGAAACTAAAACAAAATAAGTGATATAAGCCATTTTGGCAAAAGATGAAATACCTTAAGTTGATCAAGAAAAAACTGGGTAGATTGGATGTTCGTGTGAATCTATGTAAGATGTGGGGCTTAACATTTACATTTCAACTCTAGTACCACAAGGTTTAGATTCTATTTTGAGTTCTGGAATGTCCTTTCAATAATCTTAAGCTTTGCCCGGCCGGCGTGGCTCAGCAGTTGAGCATCAACCTATGATCCAGGAGATCAAAGTTTGATTCCCAGTCAGGGCACATGCCCAGGTTTTGGCTCTAGCCCAGTGGGGGCGTGCAGGACGCAGCTGATCAATGACTCTCATCATTGATGTTTCTGTCTCTCCTTCTTCCTTCCTCTCTTTGAAATCAAAGATATATTTTAAAAAATAATAATCTTAAGCTTTGAGTAGACATAAGTTTCAGCAAGAATGTCAGTGTGCTCAGCTACAATAGTGTAACAGGGTCCCTGCCAGAGAACAAAGGATTCTGTGTACCACAGCCAGATGCACAACATTCCAGAATGAAAATGAGAGAACTGCACAAGAAATCACCTCAGGACAAGCCAGAGCTGTCATACTTTTAATATGTTTTCTTACTGTTACAGAAGTTCAACCAGTTGAATGATATAAATTATTCTGCATTGTGCATCCAATATAGTATTGATAATGTAACTTTTATATCTGAGACATTTGGATTTGACTTTAGTTAGTTCTTTTTGTTGACAGGGGTGATTTGGAGGCAGTTTCACATTTTGAACAATTGTGCCTGGTAGTCAGAGGCACACAGCCTTGCCACCTGCTTGTCTGTGTGAAATAGTTGTTTCCCTTACCCAGTATTTTAAAAGAACCTGCACTATATCGTTTCCCAAACTCCTCTTAGGATACTTGTTAGTGAATTTTAGACCTTCCTTGTGTATTGAAAACAGAGGCACCCAGCCAGCATGGCTCAGCAGTAGAGCATCAACCTATGATCCAGGAGATAATGGTCCGATTCCCGGTTGGGGCACATGCCCAGGTTTTGGGCTCGATCCCCAGTGGGGAACGTGCAGGAGGCAGCCAATCAATGACTCTCATCATTGAAGTTTCTCTCCCCCCTCTCCCTCTCCCTCTCCCTCTCCCTCTCTCTCCCCCTCCCCC